TTTATGGTAACACTTGAATATTAATTACAACACTTCATAAAGCACCATGAAGATAGCAATAATTTGTAATACACAGTTTTTACAATTTTAAGTGATGGAAACTCAAAGGATGAATACATAATGCAGGGCTTTGTCTCTTTAGATTATTTGAAAGTTATGACATTTTAATTCCTTATTTCCACATATTTACAAATAGTGTATAACAGGCAGCTCTTCACCTTAGTTCTAAAATATATCATAATATGTCATAATTTCAGGGAGGATCATCCTAGACAGACTTTCCAAGTTCCAATTTAGACTTCATTACGAACCATTCTCACCTTCACTCAATTCCTGACCATCACCTTTTAAAAATAGCATTTTTCTTTCCTTAAAGACATAACCATGGAAGAAAACTAGTTCAGGATTAAATTGTGAAGTCCTTGGTGCTCTCAAGCTCAGAGAGCACCAAGGACTTCCTAGACATAGCCTCCTATGAAACCCGAATCCCAGAAATCTGTTCAGAAGAATCTTGCTGCATTGAGTGGTATCTTTATGTATATTTTTCCCTTTTTTTCCTTCATCTGTCCTTTGCCAAATATCTTGGAGGTTTTACTAAAGTAATTCTTCTGTTGCCTATAACATAACAATTATAGAAATCACAAAGCTAGAAGAATACTTTAAGTCCTTCAGCCAATTCCAATCATCATCATCAATAATAACCTCAACAAGATTCAATTCTGTCATGAACATATCCGGAAATATAGCAATAGCACTTACACTTATATACCGCTTCATTGCGCTTTACAGCCCTCTCTAAGCAGTTTACAGAGTCAACATATTGCCCCCAACAATCTGGGTCCTCATTTTACCCACCTCATAAGGATGGGGGACTCAGCCAACCTTGTGCTGCTCAGAATTGAACTCCTGGAGTGAGTTAGCCTGCAACTTTGCATTTTAATCACTGCGCTACCACTGCTCTAAATGTCCATTTTCCTTGGGTTCTTGAATTCTTTAGGCTTGGTTGTTGTGTTGCAGACATTTCATAACGGATAATATGAAACATGTAAAGGAGATGGGGGTTTGCTGGCTCTTTATGTTCAGTACTTGCCCTGTTAGTTGTGGCTGACATGTGATTTCCTCTTTTATGATTCCTTAATTAAAAATTATTTGCTTCCCTAGTTGCCTGCTGTAGTTTTCTGCTTATTTGAGGTTGCTTACATTCAGGTATATTGTAAGTCTTATTTAATTAAATGGAAACATTTTCCCAGGAAAAAAATACAGGATTAGAAATTACTACTGTCCCAATTTACCATCTATACCATAAGCAAGAGACTTTCTTACATCAGATTGACTAAACTGAAGGCTCTTCACAGATTGTTCAATATCCATAATCTGCTATCAATCTGTGCTTGAGCATTTTTTGCTAAAGAACTTTTTCACCCTTAATTAGCCAGTGTCAAACCTGAAGAAAGAAAGAAAGAGAGAGAGAGAGGGAGAGAGAGAGAGAGAGAGAGAGAGAGAAAGAAAGAAAGAAAGAAAGAAAGAAAGAAAGAAAGAAAGAAAGA